GAAGAAACTGGAACCTGCAAAGTAGATTGTTACTGGAGACTGGATTTAAAACTGCTGGCAATGAAAATATAACCAGTGTAGACATTTAAAGTGGAATTTTAAAGTTCAGGCTTTTGTTCCTTCAGAGATCTTTCTGATCCTAATTTGTCTTGGCAACTCTGCTTCCCACTAGGTGAACATCAGATGGAATTGCTTGACTATGTAGCAGCCAAGTTCCATGAGGAAGCTGGTATCTTCAAGTTATTGGTACAAGACTTTTTTTTTTTCCTGTATGCTTACTATTTTGAATAAGTGTTCCTGTTTTCTTTCACTATGTTTACTTATCTAGCACGATTACAATGCAGATCATTGACTCCATAATGGCACTTTTCCGTGTGGATTTCAGTGGTCGTGGAGAGTTGGCCGAACGACAGCAGAAACTGGCTCAGATGTTGTCAAGGCTCCAAAAAATATCAGAAGGTACGAGAAACATTGCAAGATTTGGAAAACATAGGCTGGAGCCACTACCAGTAGCTGTTGGTAGCACAACCACCCCGTAGACCAAGTGTACTCTCAGGGATCTTTCCTCGCTTTACACATCTGTCAGTTACCAAAACGATCAAACTGGTAATATATTAGTTCAAGATGACAGATTGAAAAAACTTCTGGACTTTCCAACATTTAGAGTTTTTCTATAAATACTGTTAAGCCCTAAATGAGATAATAGGTTGTGGAACTGGACAAATATTCAGTAAGAGTAATTGTCTTCCCCAAATTTCAACAGTCTAAATACAAAAGAAAGAGAAAAGAGGATGAGGGCATAGAGAAATAAAAAAGCCTTGCCTCTTGCTACTTTCTCAGTACTTTGCAGTGCTTTGAGGGATGATGACACGATGAATAGAGTTCCTTCTCTTTGGAATGTCTCAGAAATGTTGATGAGGAATGAATAAATGCTTTTTTCGTGAAGTAGCAAAAAAAAAAAAAGGCAAACAGAGAAAAGGAAGGAAAGGGAGCTGAGGGCAGGGAGCCAACAGAGAATCGATGGGAACTGAGAAAGACTTGTTCACTGGAATTCTGAAAAGTGCTCATTTTTGGTGTATTACAGCTGAAGCCAGGCAGGAGCAAATCTAGGCTGTGTCCTGATTAACTGCAGCCATCAGTCATAAAGAATATTTTTTTCTTTCCAAATTTCTGAATTCATTTGGAATTTGAAGTGCTTCAGCAGAAACCTTATTTTTACCATAGATGAGAGAATATTTTGGAATTCTAATTGGATGAAGTCTACCTTCTTTGCAATGTTTTCTCTTGCAGAATATAATGTGGCTGTGTTTGTGACCAACCAGATGACTGCTGACCCAGGAGCAACTATGACGTAACATATTTTCTCTTTTAAAAAAACTTCCTGTACTTTACAGAAATGAGAACTGAGATTGTAAGGAGCTAGAGGCACTGAAATGAAAGCTCAGATTGGTCATTGTTCCCTGTGGTATTAGGAATCATAAGTAAATGACATCTGGAAGTTTCAGTTTTTAGAATGAGCTTTTTTATGTTTATCTGCTGCCTGGTATGGTGGTGTGATTTCACTGCGACTTAAACAAAGAAAATGAGCTATAAAAAAATATTGAAAATCGACCACATTTTCCTTTGGAGCAGCTTGTATGTGATATTTAAGGCCTGTATTTCTTGAGCCTCTTGAATTTAATGAGAGGTAAATGATGCATTGAACATTGGAAAATATTATCTTGAGACAAGTGTGCTAAAGTCAGGTTTCTAATCTATTGATTATTCATTACTGAGTTGAATAGGGCTCAGCCTGACAGTTAATCACAGTATTAACCTCTGGAATTTGCACGGTGAATCACCACAATTTTCTTGCTAATTCAGCTTTCAGGCAGACCCAAAAAAGCCCATTGGGGGCCACATCCTTGCTCATGCTTCAACTACCAGGATCAGTTTGAGGAAAGGGAGAGGGGAGCTGCGTATTGCAAAGATCTACGACAGGTAAACCACCTTTCCCTCACAGGAGGGAAGGTGACAAAGTCCAAGTTATTGAAACTTTCCGGATGATACACTGGGAGAAGATCTGAAAGGACAAACTAATTAACAGATTGAACAACTAATTAAAGTTGTCTTGCACATTGCATACCTTAAATAACATAATCTTTCATCATAAATCCTACTAGATGCTCAGCTCTTAATGAAGACCATCAAATATTTTGGTAGGACTGGTGGTCCATTGGCAGGAAAATTCTGGACATGTTAAATTCCTAAGTTTTCCTGACACCATAATTTCACATTTTCTGATCCTGATGATATCAGAAAATGTGAAATTTTCTGAATTATCAGAATGATATCAGTTCTACAGTTTGCACATAGGTATAAAGGCACTGATGTATTCCAGGTTGCTCACACCCACAACATTTTGGAGACTATTTCCATGCATTTTACATGGAGAAACCCACAAGTTTTTTGTTTCTTTTTCTCCCAGCCCTGAGATGCCTGAAAATGAAGCCACATTTGCAATAACCACTGGAGGGATTGGGGATGCCAAAGAATAGGTAAAAAAAATGATGTAAATGTACAGCTAAAAAACAGCTGGGTAGTTGGGATGAAGATTTGTGAAAGGTCAGCAACTACCTGGCTGCATTTGTAGCTTTTGGGAGCTATTTAAGATATTTTGGGAGAACAATGGGATGAACTTTGTACAGTTCAGTTTTACTGAATGAGAATTTGGTTCATTTAGGATTTTTGTTTTTCAATTGACCTTTTAGCACACAAAGATTTAAGAAATTTGATTGTGAATTGTTCTTAGAATCCTTTTCCTCTGTTTTGTGAAAATCAAACCTGTCCTTTCACATGGGAGTGAATATACTCTTTCTTAATTTATTTCAAAGAGAGTGTCTAAGTGGTAGAATTTAACAGTGTGAAATACAACAGAACTGGAATAAACTCAGTTATAAAATCAACATATATAGATGGAAAAGGCAGTGGGAGGAACAACAGCTCAAGAACTTGACAGATTTTCATGTACTGTAGAGGAACAAGTAGTTTTAAGAATACGTTTTTAAACATTTTTATCTTGACTAGATAATGCATATGTTTTTATTTAGCATTTTCTACTTTTTGGACAGAATGTTTTAAACCTGTTCTTATTAAAGTTAAAAATACAGACTATGAATTAGAACAGAAGTCTGACTATGTTTGGGTGCTTTGAATTAAACTCTTCTCTCAAAAATCTCATTGATCTTTCATGAGAAAAATAATCTGGGCACAACACAACACCTTAAAACCTTTTTTCTAGTTCCCTAAAGAAACAAACTTGACATAATTGGCTTGCCGTTCTTCTAGTATAAGTAAGAATATTAATGATTACTATTAATATTAAATATTGTTTCTATTAAAAAGAATAAAATATATCCAGTGTCTAGGTAGGAGAGAGAGAGAGAGGCTGGCACCAGCACTTACACCAAGGAAAAGGACCTTAGGATTCAGCTTGCTGAGCAAGCCAGCCAGCACAGGCACAGCTCTGAACTAGCCAGAGATGTAGGTCACAGGAGGCAAAAGAAGAAGCTGGGAATAAAGAGGAAAAGAGGGCATTGGGGGCCAAAATAACAGCTCCTTTTACAATATCTCCAAAGCTCATGGAATTGCTTGTTTTAAAATAAATTAAATCATACATACATACGTACATACACACACAAACATGCATATAATGGGGAAATCTTTGTCCTCTGGTAATTACAATGAGTCTAATTTTGGGATCTGGTCAAAGAACTTGTCCTCACTGGCAAAATAACTTTTTCTGTTTAGATTATCAAATGCATATACAATAACATCAAGTTAAAAGGCAGCAATGACCACAAATTCATGGAAGTCTGACATTTTAGCCAGGCTTTTCCTTGTGCCAGACCTAGAGAGTTTGCCTTCCTTAAGTGGTTTCTTAACAGATTATATTTTTCCCCTGAGGTCAAGTACTGTTTTTCACAGTGGAGAAAAGTCTAGAGAGTTGAAGGGTGGGAGGCTGGCTGATGTGAGAGAGCAGTAATGGATCAGCCATTGTCATTTAATTCAATGTGCATTTGCATGTGCCAGGCTTTCCCACACGAGGCATTTGTATCCAGCGGCCAAGTACCCGGTGTGAGAGTTTGCAGTGTCACTTGACTCCCTGCCACCCACTTAAAAAGGCACAGCTTTCTTCCAGTATTTTATTTTTAGCGCTCAGATTGCTTTTTCCTTTCTGACACATGTGATACATACATACATATATATATATATATATGTATGTATATATAACTAGCATGTGAAACTAAAATGGTAATTCGTGTTCCGTTTTAGGCTGTTATTTTTATGCAAGGGTCTGAAAGTAAAGTGGACTCGCTTTCCCTTCTGGCAGTATAACCAGTTTTTGATAACCTGACAGCCCAGAAAGCACTGCTGATAGCGGTAACACGCTGTGGCCCAGACCTGGGTTTGGCTGGTGTAACCCCACCGCCTATGGGACACGGCTCCTTGTGCCACGACACACTGACTTGGCGACAGCACACACACAGAGCACAAAAGGATTTATGGCCTGTGCCACGTAATCTACTCCTGGATTATTCTGTCTTTCTGCGAGGAGTCTCTGGCTCATGTGGGGAATTCAATCCCGGCCTGCCGGCGCTCAGGCGACAGCAAACATCATGGCCGCTGTCACTCTGCTCCTGCCCCAGCGCCCCGGCAAGATGCCCCTACTAATCTGACAAGGAATAACCTCGGCCCGCCCGAGCCGCCACAAAAGTCCAAAGGGCCGCTCCCGCCCCGTCGCCTAGTGTCCCGTTATTGTTCCGCCATTGTCCCATCATTGCGTCCTCAACCCCGCCGCCACCTCGGCAGAGCCCGTGGGCGCGTAAGCCACGGGACGTATTCTTCAAACCCTCTGCGAAACCAGCGTAACGCTCCGGCCCGGCCTGCGCGGTCCGCGTAAGAATGTTACGCCAAGCGCACCGGGCTCTTCCCGCCCTACGCCAGCCTGAGTTACGCACCTTGCGTACGCCTTGCGCTTACGTAACGTGCGCCTCAGCCTGGGTGTTCCCTGCCCTGCAGAAGGGGTTACGGAGCGCGCTCCTTGCGCAGCTGACTTTGAGGAATAGCGTTACTCCTCCTCTCCGTCTTTCTCACGCGGGGCCCCGGCTCTAAGTAAAGAACGTTACGCACTTTCGTAGCCCGCCTGCTACTGCGCGGGGCGGTGTTTCGCCAAGCGCGCTTAGGGCGTAGTTTGGTTCCGTGAATAGGCGTAGGTGTTTCGGAGGGCCGTAGTTTGCGCAGCGCCGGGCCGCCCGTAACGTAAGCGGAGCGGGCCGGGGCGACGGCGGCCATTTTGTGCCGGGAGCGCGGAGGAAGAAGACGCTGGTGTCTCCACACTACCCGGGCCCTGGAGCCGACCGAGAGCCCCGCCGTTCCGGCCGCTGACGCCCAGCGGGTCTCGGACCCACTGAGCACCTCTTCTCCTTTTGTGTCCCAGCAAAGAGGCGAGGTGGCGCAAAGCGAGGCCTCCGAGGCGCAGCCGCCCCTGGCTGGACCCTCTCCCCGTACCCCCAGTCCCTCGCCGTCCCCACGGCCGGCGTTCCGCTGCCTCTCACCCACCCCTCCGGGGGCGATGAGAGGCTTCGGGGACCGGGGCCGCGACCGAGACCGCGGCGGGTAAGGGCGGGGGGGAT